CAAATGAAGACACTTTACCTTTGATATCTATTCTCATTACTGTTATATGGTCGAGAGCATTTAACAGTTTGTCGATTGTCGCTTCACTTTGTTCTCTCAGTCGCCATAGCAACAGACCTTGATAAATACAGTCATGCCAACCTCTGACATTAAAGTGTACCAACCATAGGTTTCGGATTTCTGCTTCACTTGCGCCAAGACAACGAAGGAATTCTCTCCAATTACGTCCAACTCTAGTCTTCAGAAATTTGAAGACTAAATCTAAATCATCCTGTGAGTAAAAATAGAAACATTATAATTTATAACAGATATCGCACACCTAGAGAAATAGTAATTGATAGCTTGTGATTAAGGTCAATGTTACATTTCAAGTTGTCATTTTGACGCATGAGCTACGCGTAAATAAAAATAAACTGATTCGTCGCCATTAATATGAGGGATTTATTACTGTACGGAAGATCACAAGGTGGTTTCATGTGGGTGGACGTTGGTGGCGCTGTTGTGAAATTTAAGAAAACAATCTATTTTCGACAGACGTTGTTTTGTGAATTAACCATGAGAGCACTACCACTGGAATGCACTGCACTAAAACAAATCGTTGATCTTCGCTTCGTGATTATAGCTAAACAATTTTCGCTCGTCACTCGTGTATGACAGGCCTTGCCCTGGGGAGATAACTTGTTTACATGTCTTTGTTTATAAAGTGTTACTCGGGTGAACAAACACCTGATAAACAATGTTTCCTTCTTATCCCGAAAAAAACACATTTTATTTCAAAAAACGTGCATGAACCCCAGGGCTACCTTACTGTATTCTAGAAAATGTGTGTCTTTGAATTGAATACTGCGGCCTCACACTCAATTGTATCAGAGCAGTGCTGCATATCTAAGGTAAATAGGAAATAGGGAAATAGGGGGGGGGGAGTTAATGCACTGCTTCGCATAGCGTAAAACAGAATTTCAGCGCCCGGAGACATGCATATACTAAAATTATCCAACCAAACATTAACTGTATTGACTCTGTTTCGTCAGAATTTTTACGGAGAGCCTATTTCAGGAGAGAACATTGTGACAAACAAATGGGTTGTAAAATTAATTTTGAGTAACCCATCATCAGCTATCAAAGGCGGTTATTTTTTTTTTTGGAGAATAAATATAACGATCAACAGTTCGATTATATTACTACATGCCCAGGCATTGAGTATGTTAAGAGAGCCCGATCAATACCTAGTCGACCGATCGATGAGCGATTAATTACAAGGAAACATGGCACAGAGCAATCATGTCACTTCTAATTTTCAATGTTTGTATTGCAACAAATATATCCGACGTTTCCCGTGCTGACATCACATAAAGGCTATGACAATACATGTACCACAATTAAAACGAGAAGGCCACCCACTCTGTTATTCGTTTCCCGGCTAGCAATTGCCGAGTAAGTTATTTAGATGCGAATTGTGTTGTTTTATTGCGAGAAGCTCTACTATCCGGCGCATGTAGGTCGCAATGAAAGATGATCGTAAACCTTGAAAGAAATGACACGCCAATAACATAAAAGTGAGAGTCCGCTTTTTAATTTGGGACACGTATATATATAGAAAGTCCTAACAAAAGGATTTCGCGATGAAATGGCAAATCGAAAACTATCCTACGACTTACCTCGATGTTTGTCTCCGCGTCTTTCATCATGTTACGCCTCTCCGCCTCCACCTTCTCTCGTAAGGTAGACGCTTCGCCGAAGGAGCTCTCCGGTACAAATTGCTTCTTTTCCTGCTCTGAGTTCCACGGAATCGGTTTTCTATTAACGGAGTTCTCAAAACTGTTGTATATTGATGAGTCCATGGAACTGCGCGATGAGCCCGGTGTGTCCGTTCCTTCCCTAAAAGCAATCAAACCCAGATGTATAAGTGGCGAACTGTTCAAATATCGACTGAAAGCTAATTGCATACAAGATTCTCCGATATTTATAGACGATCGTTGTTTCCTTGCAGCGATCTGTCCTATGGCTAAATTCAGAGATGAAACATGAACCGTAGATGCAAATACAAAATCGATTAATCAAAATTTGTGTCCATTAAAAGTACTATCATTATTATTACATTATTCTTTCGGTTTTTATAAACACCGTTTTTTTTTTTTTACATATTCTACTAATAACAAATAGAACAGAGCAGTTTGGTTTATTGAGGTATCTTACACATTAGCACCTGCCTTAACTGAACACCCACAAGATTGAAAGTAGTGTTCTTGTTTACAGGCGTATAGAGTGAAACCTGTCTAAACTGAACACAAATTGGGTGATGCAATTGTTTATAGAGGTGTTTGATGTATAGATCTCTTGAATACAGGGAAACCTGTCTAAACTGAACACCAATTGGATGATACAATTGTTTATAGAGGTGTTTGGTGTATAGATCTCTTGAATACAGGGAAACCTGTCTAAATTGAACACCAAGCAGAAAAACTAAGGATTAGACAAGGTATTTAAATTTGTCATGTTCTCAGTTTAAATTCGGCTTTACTGTATATATATATATATATATATATTATAGATCAAAATAGATAAAACAAATGGTTTTCGTTTCTCAACGATCAATATATATCATAGTAGCCGACGGCTGACACCGATGGATGAACAACATGTCATCGATAATAAAAGATGAAATATTGTTCCCTTAATGACTTTCGCTGAAGGCTCAGAATTCTAATAAGGTAAAGTCTGGACGATGACATTCAAGATGGCGCTGATTAAATAATCAATTATTATTAGAATGCTTAGTAATATAATAATTATTTATAAAGAATATAATCTGGGAAAGTTTATTATGATTGTGTTATTTCATCCAAAATGTAATCCTAAGCAACCTGGTGTGGCAACTGTAACTGTAAGGTTAGCTATAGTGCAAACGGCAGTACAATGGAATGCTTTGAAGTGTAGTAGAATTCCGTTTTTATTTACTTTGTAAATTAACTAAAGTGTGCGCTCAACCACAGGTGCTTATACGCGTAGTCGCGTAGAATATAGAGCCTATTCACAAGTCAGGCATCGATTGATTTTTTATTTTATTTCGAATGGCTGAAAATATAGAATCAGGAAAAAACTACTGGATTTTAACATAGTCCAGACTGAAATATACAATATATAAATTATATAAAGGTAATTGTTGTTGGGATTCGTAGTTTTGAGCAACTATTGAAAATAATCTGACGTTTTGTAATCTGACGTTTTGACAATCATATAAGGTATACAGACTGACAAAGAAGGAAGAAAAATCAAAGAATCAAATTGAAGAAACTTTACAAGACGCTAGTCACTAACTTCCAGTGAGATGACAAATAAAAACAGTACGAGTTATGGATTTACTGTCAATATTTATAGTCCCTTGAGGAGAAAATATATCAAATACGGACATGGTCCGATTTTACGAGAATGCAAATTAATTAGGTAGGGAATTGCAGTAATTATATTGTAATTGCTTTATAAAGCGTTAATTGCTCTAACGTTTAATTGATCAAAAATAATTTTTTATCAGGTGTTACTGTTATTACATAAGGGATAAGTGGCCATATATTAAAACATACTCCAAATGTGCAGTCATTGCCGGTAATGGTGGTCACACAAATATGGGCTACACTTGATGAACTGTCTCGCTTTAATATATAACCAGTGGCGGATCTAGAGGGGGGTTCTTGGGATCCGGACCACCCCCCCCCCCACGTTGAAAAATGTATTCAATTTGTTTTTGCATAATATAAACAAAAAATCATTAACTTAGTATGGCGATTTTAAAGTGTGTACCCTCCCATAAAAAATCCTGTATCCGCCCTAACCCCTCATTACATAAATCTACCGCTGTAAAGACATCTTCACACTTCTAGTATCTGGTATGAGTGTAGACATTTTGGTTAGGATGACGAACCTTCACAATGATGTCATTACCGCATACTTTGAGTATGCGTGTATGAGAAACAACAGTTTTGAGAATGGTGGAGGGGGTGTGCGCTCGGCACGCCCCATATAAATTTGTAACTGAGTACGTCATATGTTGCATTAATATGTGCAAGCATTTTTATTAGTTTTTTTAAATGCAGTAGTTAGTTGTTCGTCTTGGCATTTTGAATTTGTCGTCGGTACTTACAGTGTATTTTGTCACATACGAGTTAACCATATTCCAAGTTCGGGATTACGTAACAGAGTAGTGTGACCGTCTTCCTAACTTGGCAATTCAATGCACTATCCTGGCAACAACCAGACGTGCATGCGTGAATCTAACCGGCGCTCGTGCACATAATCGCCTAACTTCGCGTCACGTTCTTTGTGAGGATGCCCGGTGGACAAGGGAAGCCATATGCCGTGAGGTGAGCGCCAGTTTGAGCCACGCACACAGTACACGTTTACTTTGATTTGACGAAGTATTTACCATGCCGTTCATTCGGTGTTATTTACTTGCTTTACTTTCTATGTTAGTAGTTACTATGAGTTACCAACCAGGCCTGGTGGTACACAGGCACCAGAGGACCAAGGTTACCTTACAGTCACAATAGACCATTTCCCGTTTACTGCGAGAATCACGCGTTGTGCGTGAAATCGACCGTAAAAACAGGACAAACAAAGGTCATAGCGTCGTAGTGGCGTCAAACATCGCGTGGGATTCGACAAACGCGAAAGTATTTTGGAGGCATTTCCATGCTTAATAATGTGCTGTACACATTTGATGATAGACAATTTCGATTAAGTGAGGGTATTCGAAAGCAATATTCCTCTGTCGAAGATCAGCCGGTCGATGTGAACTACGAAATAAAGAAATTCGAGTTCAAAATCAAATCGTTCGATTTTTGCGGCAGACGTTCGACGCGCGTCTTTCATGCATCTCGCGAGATCTCGCAGTTGAACGGAAAATCACTTATTCCATGCAGGCAGGATATGTACCCTGAGCAAACCGGTAGTGAGTCCGGCGTACAACTCTGTACAACTGATCGGTATCACTACCCCTACATGAGCACACACAACTAGCATTGGCACACTGTATAACCATAATTGAAAATTAAATTCAGAATGCTGTGGTTCATAAACAAATTTAATTTTAATATTTTTTAATTATTTAATAATAATAATAATAATTTATTTGACCGTATAATGTATCTGAACCCAAAAAATAGTCTAATCAACATGACGTGGCCTTGTACAATTAATAGTTTACAGCTGTACAATTGACAAATGACCGTCATTTGATAAAGTTAAAAATAGCGCATTTCTATGAAAATAACATGGTATATTGTCACACTGAGTTTTAATTTGATACTTTCACGGAATCGAGGCTATGTTTCTGGACTTCCTTTCTTATTGCTCCTTTCTCGGTTGCTTATATTCTTTTGTTTAAAGTAGTACGTTAATCGGTGTTACTATTTAATCGATATCGAAGAAAATATGTGAGTGTAACTGGAGGTAGCTATCATTTTCATAAAGTTAATCACAAACACGCAGTCAATGACAATATAATGCGAGGCACGTTCGAGTATTTGGATGAAATCACGGTGTAATGACCGGGATACGTTCATGGATACAGAATCCACACCCAATCGGAATGTAGGGTTGGAGTACTACATGTGACAAACAAACACACACCATGTACGCAAAGAACACCGCTTTGGGTGTGAATGACGGGTTTTGTGTACTCCACATTTCATTGTTGAGATTTACAAGTAAATACATGCTTTTTGAATCTACTTGACCTGAGCCTACTTTGAATAAACAAGCTGAAACTGACATGGACTGACCCAGATATGTCCGCCATTGTAGTATATGCACTGTTGGTACACAAAATCGGATCAGTAGGTAACGATAAAAACAACGCCATAGTGTTCAATAACAATAATGTTCCCAGATTGATAACGTAAATGCGATTTATTCTAGAATGGTACTCAGACCTTTTGTGTAGGTAGTGGTATACTTAAGAGATTTGTATATTGCACCTCTATAATATATGCCGTATTTTGCGAAAGAAATATAGAGCATAGTAAACAAGTTATGCATGGCACAGTCCCCGTTAGATATCAAATTTAAGATATATAGTTTTGTTTATAATAATATAGTTGGAACATAAACATGTCAGAAGTATGGATCTAGAAGAAGATGCTTGATTATGATGATTTGTTAACATTAAAGCGCGGCAGTCGTCGCGCTG